TCACAAAATACAAAGACCTGCAAATAGAAATAGAACGACTGTGGCAAAAGAAAGCAAAGATGGTACCAATAGTAGTACGTGCCTTGGATGCAATCCCAAAACATCCAGAGTACCAACTGAAGACCATCGGCATTGACAAAATCACCATCAGTCAATTGCAAAAGGCAGCTTTACTTGGAACAGCTTACATCTACTTTCCCTGTTTGGGACAACACTTATTATTTGTTCTTCTATTATTGTTTACTTTCCCTGTTTGGGACAACACTTATTATTTGTTCTTCTATTATTGTTTAGGTTCTTAGGAAAGACTTGATAGGTAGATAAAAATGCCAAATCCAGTCTAAACAACTGGCTGACTGTGCAACCAACAATAATAGAAGAACAAATAATAAGTGTTGTCCCAAACAGGGAAAGTAAGAAGTTGTCCCAAATAGGGAAAGTAATAGGATGGCCATTTATCCATATGCTCACCAGGACTTATCCATTAAGAAGGAAAGGTGAGAAGCATCAACTGAAACATATGAGGAGGAGACCACAAGGAATGAAATATAACTCTGACACATTTGATTTGGCTGTTTCATAAAAAAAGCTAAAAGCGTATTTCATATAATCTCAAAGTAATCTTGAGAAAACATGTTAGGCACTTAATTGGATGGTTGCAACATAGCTCAGTGGGATGGACGAGCTTATGATAAATCCACTGTATGATTCCTCTACGTATTTTACCTTTATCATGAAAACTGTGCATGGCCTTAGCCCTCCTCATCTCTCTGCATATCTACTCAAACAGACCCCTTCCTTTGACTCATTCAGCTTCACTGCCCTCAAGGATTCAAAAGTGACTTGAAGGCTACCTTAGTTAACTATTGATTGCATGTTGCTTTATGAATAGAATAGTACGACTGCCCTATAAACCTCCCAAAATTCATTTTCCTAAAAGGTTTCAGATACAGCTGCAGCCCTTAATAGACTATACAATATTTGCAAGTTGGATGAAGAGTAAGCAACTCTTAATAGACTGTACAAGATAAAAGGGAGCAATGGGAGCTTTAAAAAACCAAGTTTAGAAGGATAGAAAGAAAGCCCTGTATTTGGCTGAGGACCTAGTTCAGTTAAAAACTTAGGCAAAATTGACACCCCTGAAGTGCCAATTATTCTAATAGGAAAAAGAATTAAAGCTGAGAGAACAAATTACTGGGCATCCTGGGAGTCTGAATTACTTTTACGACTCAGATAGGGAGGAGGAGAAGAAATGTTTTCAGGCTTTTAGAACTTCAAACTCACATGCAAACCTAGGGGGCATTTAGATTTTAGGAGTAATTAACGGTTAAAGTTTGCTGTAAAGGGTCTGTAATGAGCCTCCCAGAAGACTGCATTTGATGACGAACTGGAGGAAACAGAAATCTGGGGCTGAATAAACAGAAGACAGAGATCAAGAGAATGAATTGTTTCTGGAGACGAGGAGGAGATTGGGGTCAGATAACTGCAGTAGGAGAGGCTTTCCCCCAAAGAGTCAAGGGTATTGTCTGAATTAGGCAAGAACCAGTTCCAACAATTATCTGTCATGTTACACCTTCAGATAGTAAATAACTAGGTCATTTTAAAAAGCTGTACTATTTTCAACAAAGGTAAAAATGTGGTTAGTCACAATACCAATAACTTACAGGTTCTCAAGCTTTCCCAGGCCATGACCTCAATCTCTCAATAGAATTGCCCTTCTCATCAACTTGATATCACAAATTCAGGAATTTGTTCTATATCCAACCATTCAACTAAATGCCAATTGACATCCTTGAGAAATGTAGAGGTTTTGGAATGTAAGACTGACAGAAAAAAATATTTCATGTACAGAATTCCTCTTGAGCTGGATGGCATTTCTGGTTAATAGAAGCTTAGAAAACTTGGTTCTGATTGTTTTATTAAGAGAATGAAGAGACAGAAGTACTGTATCCTGCTTGAATACCGAGGATGGAAGGGTCAGTGCATCCAGATAATTTTTTCTCATTATTTAACCTTCCCCTATCCATTCTGATACGGCACACAGCTTGATAATTAAAACAGTTGTAAAATCTTCACTGTTAAGAGGTATCTCTATAATCCTAACAACCCTGGCTACATTTCTGCTTAAAACTGACTTGACAGAATAGTTATGTGTTCAGATCCTACTGAACTAAATAGCCATACATACACATAATTATTTAGAAGATATTTTCACCCATAACCAATAATTATGACTATAAAGTTCCATTTAAAAGGAACAAATAAAAGCTACATTTTTCATTTGGTACTTGCCCCAGTATTTCCAATCTACTTACAGCAGCCTGGCCAAATACTCAGTTTATTCCACCTATGTCTGGACAATCTGGCTGACTGGAGTGCCTGAAGGACAATCCTATCAGCATTGTGGCTTTGTCTGTGTGTACAAAGGCCAATCACTGTCAGATATGCTCTGGGCTTTCCTTCTTGCTCTGCCTGGACATGCAGAAAAATTGCCAGATTTGATGTATACAAAAATGTTACAACCAGCTTCCAAGAACTGGACTGAAACAATCAATGCCCCGTCAGGTGTGAAGATGCAGACACTGAAGGAAAGAGCGCATACAGGAAGGAAACCAGACAGGTTAGGGAAAAGGAGAAGCAGAGAGCAGAAGTTTGGCCAGACAGGCAAAAAGTGCCATGCCGAGGAGGAAAAGAAGCTGAGGAGGAAAAAAGTAGGAAAGAGCTCAAGGAAAGTAGGAATCAGAAAGAATGCAGAGTAGGATAGGGTCTTCTCTATCTCAGCAGCAGGATAAAAGGAGGTGACTTGAGAATAAGCAATGATGAGGAAATGAAGAAACAGAAATGTTCTTCCTTGCTCAGTCAGGATTGCCCTCAATATTAAAATAAGATGGAGGAGAATCTGGGAGTGCAAGGGAACAGGGGCTTTGATTGGCAGCAAGTGGGCCAGAGAAAACATCTGGCAAGCCAGCAAAGGAGAAAAAGTACCTCGCTGATTGGGACCAGTAGTGGGATTTGGGGGAGAGTCTCTCCAAGCCCCGCAATGGGAGGCACGGGGTTGGGGACTGCCCTCCCAAGAGAGGAAAAAATGGAGTTGTGCCACCAGGGGAGGCAATTAACCTGATTAGGATGCACGGTACCTTTAAGCTTCCCCAACCTGGTGTTGAGATCTCCAGAAGCCACTCTGGAAAGGGTGCGTGTGTGTGTCTGTGAGTGAAAGCAAGAGCGAGAGCAAGCTGCTAATTCTAAGCACAAGTTTCTTGCATTCTCTTCTCACACCTGTGATACTTTATCCCTTTGCATTTCTGTAAGTTGATTGACTTTACTAATAAATCTGTTTTACTGTATAAAACTGGGGGGTTTATTTTTTATTAGATTTCTCAGGGAGTGGGGTGGAATTTGACATTTCATATCAAGCTCCCCAGTTAGGTGGAGACACGCTTGGCACTGGGATCTTTAAACCACAGGAGCTTGGGAAGAGTCCAATGGGATTCTTGGGGACCCGGCTTTCAAACCTGGGGCCACTACAGATAGTTTCAATTTTAAGAGTCGAATGGGAGTGATTTAGAGCTAGGTTGTCTCCCAGTTTTGTCATGGCCCTCTGAAGTGGGGATGCATTCAGAATCAAGCTAACCCTGGACAACTGCTGAGTTCCTTGAACATCTCCACTGTGACCCTGTGGGTGCAAAGGAAATGCCTACAAAAATGGGGGGAGGGCACACAAACTTGTAGCATAGGAACATACTAGGGGCAAAAGCTGAGGTAGAAGAAAAATCAAGTGGTTCTTCTCCCCCACTGCCCCTAGAATCTGGCACAATCCTATTTTGTTCCTCCAAAAAAGCTGTTAAATCCTTTCTCCTCTCCTCCCACTCCTCACCTTCTGACTGCACACCCTTCTCTTCTATCTTGGAGCACTAAGGAATCCCATCAACATTGCAGTTCTGTGACTCAAGCAAAAAGACAGTTTGGGAAATACGTGAGTGCTTTTCACAGTAACTAATTCTTAGCTCTGCTTTCTCAATCCCAGGGTCAGATGATCATTCCTCTAGATAGGTCTTCCTATGCCTTTGCAGTTGAATTTTAGGTGCATTTTATCTTGCTCAGTTATTCAGTTAAGGAGTAGGTCTATGACAGTGGAACTTGTAACAAATTAAAGATTAGAATTCAGTTGAAAAGGAAATATTTACACATTCATTGTGTAGAATTGTGTAGAGGTAAATACTGACGATGGTTAAAAATTACATGTAAAAAGTATCTGGATTTTCACTCTCCTGTAGAAATAGGATGAAAGTTAGGGTGCTGTATTTTTGGCAGCTTCAATTAGTCTGTTCACCCAGATGTGCTGTCTTTGCATTATACCAGTCTGCATCTTGAAGAAATCCACTGACAGACCTGATGTAGCAGTGTCTACAGGAGAAAGTGTGGTTCAACCTACAGTCCAGCACTAGGAATCTTCCCTATTTTCCTCCTCCTTTTCCCTTCATCAGCTATAAATTTCTCAGGTAAAAGAAGAACCTAATGGGAGAACAACGCACTGGGAAAGACAAAGAAGCTGGAACACAACTAAGGTTCTGAAGTGAAGCAATTCCTGCCCAGTTTGAACTTGGACAAGCATTTCTTTGCTCTCTTCTTCACCTCCAGCCCCATCAGTTTTCCCCCCTGCTATGGCTTCTTCTGTTTGGGACCTCTCTTTCATTTCCTTTCTTAACCTCAGTCTGAGTTACTAGTTTTGTCTTCTTTTCTCTCAGTTTCTGCTTATATATGGAAAACCAATCTCCCTCCCTCCCTCTCTCTATAAAGAAAACCATCCTCTGAAAAATTCTCATCAATTCCTTTTTGACTGAACAGTAAAGATAAAACAAATGAAATAGATAAAAAATTAACTCCAGAGTGTTTTTGTCCCAAATGGGACCTTCAGGTCCTCTCATTTTTCTGCCCTTTTTCTCTCCTTTTGGCTAATCTGTTTCTTGGTCTTCTTGAAATGACCTATGCACATTCTCTTTTGACTTTTGTGGGAAAAATTAACTGGTGCCAGTTAATTAACTGGTGCATTTTAATTGTAACATTTTTGTTTTACACAGCCAACTACTACGCTTAACCAAGTATACTGAAAGCTATTTTGTTCTGCTTTGCTTAGCTGACAAACATACAGAATATATGAAAGAAATGAGTCAGCCCTCTTTATATACAGTTACGGGGATCAATGGATAGTTACATATATTTTTAAATAGCTGCTTCAAAGACACACATATTAAGGGCGGGACCTTGCCTTAGTACATCTTCATTTTTAAACTCTGAATTTTCTGCAGAGATTCACAGTTGCAGGGATTATGTGGCCCCAACAGTGATTACAGCCTATATTTATACCCCCATAGGTATAAAAAACATGACCACCCATTTCTGTAGTCCCTGACACTCTTGCCTAAAGCTGGAACAATTTACCAATCCCTGGACTAGATGATTTTTATGGTCAATTCCAGCTCGGATTCTGGAATTCATTTTTCTAATAATCAGATACATGATTTAGGTAATATTCTGAGAAGTTCATAATTTGCTATGAAATCTATGCTTGCCTTTCTACCACAACTGCATTCTCTAAAGCATATGAAATACTCCGAACACTTGTTATTTCATCAGGTTGCAGTCTGTATGTCTCTTTTGTCCTTGCAAAAGTGCCTGTTAACCACTCCTTTACGTCCAAAGGTATTGAATCCCACTGGATACTAGAAAGTTCATCCTCAGGGTCCAAAAGGCTCCTGCAAAAATCCAAGTTTTTATGTATGTACTTTTGTATTCATTCATTCATTTAAATTATTTATATCCCAAGTGGCTTTTTAAAAAATCACTGTAAGGCATTAAAAACAAAATAAGAGCAGCAGTTTTAATGGATTTTTTTTAAAAAGCAAACAAAACTACGAGGGATAATTAATTTTTGCCTTCCAGAATGGCTACCAAGTTTTCAAACACCATCTCAACAGGGGAAAAGAAAGCACTTATGATCTCCTCAGAATTTCCATAATTGTGCCCCCCCCCCCCAGTAAAACAGACCTGTACCGGCTGCCCATCAAAATAAAACTTTGCTAATCATAGCCAAGAAAGCAGATAGAAAGATTAATGTATCTAAAACGTGAATTCAACCTAACATCTCTTAAAAACTCAGTTTCATTGATTCAATGTATGTATTAAAAAGAGATGCAGACCAGTATTTGTTCTACAGATTGTTAAATATTAATTATGTCATGAAGTAATAAAACTGCAATCAAATGGCAAAATTCCACTCCAATATTAATATAACTTGAGTAGTGGCTGCATCAGAGTAGGATGGCATCTTTCTAATGAACACCCCCTCCCCCCACCATACACGTAAAGCTCTATTTCCAAGTGCCTTTGACACTAGTGGCCTGACGGGATTAATTAATAGCGAGCCTTGACTAACCAAGTAATCTAGATTAGAAAATGTCCCCAACCAACAATGCAACTGGTAATAATATAATTTTCTATGCGCCTTTGTTGTATGAACTTAAGAGAATTCATGATGAATGCAAAAGATATATGGATGGAGGCTAAACAACATAGGATGATAAACTGTGTGCACCTGAAGGTTCTAATTGGAACTGTAGGTTAAAATCAAAAGCTGGGGTCTTTTACACAGAAGGGAGTTGGTATAGATGAGAAACACAGATAAACAGAGACTGAATTTGTGTTAAGGCAGGCTAAATTGAACATTTCCAAAATCAGTGGCATACTGGTGCTTTTGATTCTTCTTTTCCCACCATGGTTTTCTCAGAAGCCATTTAAAAAGCTAACAGCAATTATTAAAAACTTGGGTACAAATTTGTATCTTTTCTTGCTTTCTCTCCTTCCATTTTTATTGGATTTACTCATCTGCAGGCAGGGACTGTCTTATATTAAAGCTGAGTACAGCATTTCAAAAATTGATATGTACTATATATCTGAATCCAGTTCTTAATGCCCTTCTGATCCTTGTTGGACCTTGTAAGTTACAGGATAGATGCTTGTTTAGGAGGGCAGACTGGATTAATCAATTCTGGGAAACTACCATCCAGTGCAGTGTATGCCATACTTGGATAATATATGGATTTTTTAAAGACATTTATAGATTGTTATTCTAGATCTTAGACCATATGGATTATTTGGAACAATTATTTTTTTCATGGAGGACTGAGATCTACTTTTTGAATTTATGCCCTTCCTTATTACTGAAATCTCCCAGATTAGCATCAAGCCCCTGGCTATAAATAGACAAAATTGTAGAAGACCCTGGGCATTTTCCCTTCCAGATCAAGTCTGGGAGCTCCTGACAGATGCCTAGACAGATACCTCATAAATATATTTACTCTCCCTAGTTCATCCAAATTGCTTTATTTATACCTGCCAGTTTGTATAAATGGTCTTTCCTAATTCAGTCACAGATCTTAATGTTTTCCCTTTGGCCTACTGAGAATTCAGTGGCAACACTTTTAGGTGAAGGGGTCTGTAGTTTCAGTAAGCCATCACTCTAGTTGAGACTGAAAAAATGGATTGAAAGGTAAAGATGGCATGTAGATGCCAGGCTCCCCTTCCCTCCAGTTAGTATCTGTGACCATCCTGACACTTTCTGTCTTTCACAACTCTTAACAGTGGTCCCTCTGCATCAGTTTTTACCCTATAAAATAAGTATCTTCTGCTACTACTATTAGTATTAGTACTATTAGTCTAATAATCAGAGCAATAAGCTTTTGTTATTTAATCTATCTCTGTAATGTATTAAAGAATATTTCTGAAGCAAGAAGCCTATTTTCTCTGTCAGTGATACATGCACTGCAGTGGGCAGCATTCTAGACAAGGCATTCCTCCTATGACCAAATGGAAGGGACAGATGACCTCAGACAAAGTCATCTGTAGCTGCTTTTTATTTGCAAAGAGCAACCACAGGGATCCCCCAAATGACTACCATCGGAAATGGGGAGTTCAACCTTTTAACCCCTGCCATGGTTCCAGTGAAAGTTTCCACCCTCCCAAAAGTTGCTACATGAATTGGAATCCTTTTCCAGATGCAAGCAGAAGTTCAGGGTAAGATGTTCTGTGCAACAGCATAGGACTCCAGATTGAACTCCCTTTCTGCCTGCTGTATTTCTCAAGTGTGCGTGTGTATGTGTAGCCCTAACTTTACTAACACCCTTCAACCTGGGTTGCAATTGTAAACTTCAGTGAAAAGAGATGGGGCTTCCTTTAGGTCCATGATCCTGAGTCAGATGCATTCTCAAAGTAACTGGCAAATGCCCAAGAAAAATGAACTCCAACAGTGACCAGTGATCCTTCCCTCTCCTTGGGTCAAAGTAGTGATATACTTACAAAAGAGTGGCAGAAAGTTTCTTTTTGGTCCTTTGATCACAGGTTTTTGTTTTGGCTTGGTTATTATTAGTTTTGACACCAATCTTCTCTCTTTTATCCTGTGTCATATCTGCAGCTGTTTTTGTTTTGTCTACAACCCTTATTGCAGTAATTTCCTACATTTATAGCTAATAAAGTAGCTTCCTACTCCTATATGCATGTCATTATTATATATTCTCAGTGGATATAAGTTCAAGAAAAAATGCCATGCCTTCCTCCAGAAGCATTGTGACATCATCCTAATGTAACCATTAACAACTATTGTGAACCCCTGTGAACCTACTGCACAGGATTTCTTCCACCCCCATGATGGGCGGGGGGGCAGTATAATCTTCTGGTGCTTCTTAGACCTACTTTTCCTCCTCTTTGTTTCCATGTCCTGTGCAGGAATTAGGGCAGTAACAGCCACAGCAGTGACCACATGAGGACCAGTGAATGGGCGATGGTGACAGCAATGAGAAGGAGACAGAGATGCACTCAGTATTTCTGACAACAGATTTAAGATCATTAAAGCCACATGTTCATCTATAGCAGTAGCCCAAAACTAGGAGAACACAGGTATTATAAAAGAAATATTTGTACTTTTACTGGTCTTCACACTAGCTACAAGGCTAGAATATTATATTTACCCCAAAGGAAGATGTCCTTGAATTTAAACTGATCTCCATAAAGCTAGAATGGACAAAAGAATTATCAACACAGACAAAAATCCTGTGCGTGGCTAGCTTTCCGACCTTATCAACCAAGGGTGCCCGATTCCAGCTAAAACCAATCCTAAAATCCTCACCCCCTCAATAAATATGTACATATAACCAATATGCATTATTGTGTGTATATATCTGCCAGAAGACAACCCCTCCCCCCAAGAAAGCTTAAAATATATTAACAAAAACATTTACTGATTTTTAACTACCAGCTGCAAATGACTAGGCTCAATTATCATCTTTTGAACAAAATATATGAAGTGTGAAGTCCTTGGGGTTCTCTGAGCTTGGTTGTTTTCTTGCAGACATTTCGTTAGAAATGGCTAGATAACAACTTCAAAGATATTACCTGGCCGGGTAACAAAACATCTGCAAGAAAACCACCGAGCTCAGAGAACCCCAAGGACTCCACCGTTCAGCCCTGAGCTACACATATTCTCTTCTATTGGTACAATACGTGAAGACCTAGCTCTCTTGAGAAACCAGCAGGAAGTGGATGGGCTCAATTCCAGTGACGATGGGTGCACCACAATAAAAAAGCGAAGCAGTAACGACACACTCCGGGAGCCAGCACGAGGTTAAATATAATTTCGCAGAATTGTTGCCATATGACAACAACGGGTGTTGATGGAATTAAAATTACGTACTGTGTAAATAGGGTGAAAATGTCAGAAGAAAAAAAAAATTGTCCAGGGCTGAAAATCCTAAGAGTAAAGCTCAAAAACTCGAAAGCAAAAAGAAACAAGGGGCGCCTTTTTGAAATTTCTAACAAAATGGGAAGAAGAGCCAAGCCACCGGGGGCGCAGAACGTGGCTTCGCCTCGGGCGCCGAAAAGTCTGGAGTGGGCCCTGCGCCTGCCTTTTGCTCCGCCGAGCCAACGTTGCATTTGAGAGGAAAGGCAACAAGCCCTCCGTCACGTCTTTTTTTTTTTTTTCCTGAATTTGATGGAAGTTGCTTTTAAGGGATGGCAGCTGTCCTTGTGGACTTCGTTTAAAAGAGGCTCCTCTCTTGCAGTGCAAACCTCTGCCCCTTAAAAACGAAAATGTTTGTGTAGGTAAAGAACGGTACACAAGGTGAACTAGAGAACATTAATCATAAGGAAGGAACTAAGAAACCTGGTTAGGATGCCCAATATTTACGGGCAGAAAGGAGGAGGTTGTCCTGCCAATCCGCTATTGTTTGGGGAGGCAAAGCACGTGCCCAGATAGCAGCACGTGCCTAAACGCCTACAAACGCTTCCCCGGGCCACCGCCATTTTCAGCAAAGCCGCCCAACTCACCGCTTAAAGGGCAGCTTTGCTCCTCCCTCCTCCTCCGCTGCGATTCAAGGCGTCCCCTCGCAGCAGCGCCTGGCGGCCAGAAAAAATTACGTCACTTCGAAATACTCCTGCTGTAGGACAATTTCATTGCTCGTTCTCTCGCTCTCCTGCAGACCTACGCGAATGAAGGTTTCGCGAGGGCAACTGTAAGGCTTCCTCACAGGAGGAGCCAGTTTCCATAGAAAACAAGTAACAACAGACGTGGAGACTCTCGGGTCACCAGCTAGATTTCTCGTTCTTGATCGCAGGGGAAAAAATGGTTTTCTCTCTTTCTAAATGTTGCCATTAGCAGCCCTTCCGAGTCGGGAATCGTTTCCTTCGCATCCTCTTGACAATAAGAGCTGGCTTGTTAGAGGTCTTGCTGAATTCTGGGTCTGGTTCAGGAGGTTAGCGAAAGGCAGCATGACGGAACTGCACGAAGGGGTGGCTGTGGGCAAATATGATTTAGTGGAAGAAATCCTCAAGAGCGGGCTCGCTGACCCAAACTGCAAAGATGCAGACTGGAGCGATAGGACACCTCTCCACTGGGCGGCAGCAAATGGTAAGCAATAAATCTGGGACTGGGTGGGTAGGTGGGGCTGTGCGTGGGTCTCGGAGAGGGAGAAGGAGGAACACTGCGCCAGCAATAATGAAAGCGTGCGTAGAAAATTACAGTGGGTAATTTCCAGTTCAGCTTGCACCCAGCACGCTCCCAATCATTCTCTACCTCCAAATCAGAGCAAACACACAGGCTACTCCGATCGGTTAGCAAAAATACATTTACTGATATAACAGACATCAAAAACGGGATAAAAATTAAATAAAAGCAGACATTGAGAAAGACAGGAGCAACAGGCAAGAACTTTACCTATATTTTAGATACTGGAATCAGCGCTGTGGGTAATTAGTATGGCGGTTCCGAAGGGAGTGGCTTTTGGTTATCCCAGGCCTTTAGAGGTGGAAAGTAGGGCACCAGGTGATCCCTCTTTTATTCTGCCCCATGAAGGAAACGATTTGATAGACCGGGATGATGTATTCAGCGTTGCGTAAGACAAAGGAATGACACTAGGAACCCCGGAGCTATCTTTCTTTTCACTCCCCTTTTCAACCGCTGATATTTCATGAGCTTTCCTTGGGATTAAAATGATTGCTTTGAAGTGCTATTCCATGCCTCACTGCTTCATCAAGCAGGGGGAGGCCCAGAAACTCTAATCCTGTGTTTGGGTATAAGAAGACATGGATTTACTACTCCTCAACAACAGAACTTGCATAGAAGAAGTAGCTGGATCAGATTCCTCTGCTCCGAGTATGTCAGCTCTGGGTGATCCTCCTCCCCTCTCCTAAGTCCTGAACGGAAGCGTCCTGGAAGGTCCAGGCATGCTTCTCCTGCGCTGCTGTACCTGCCTCTGCTTTAACTCCCCCTACCCACCTATCCTTGCCCCTCATCCTCTGCCCCTTTTTGGCCACCCTGTACCTATGCCTGGCTACCCTTGTTGCCTCCTGCTGCCCCCCGCTCTCCCCAGCCTGCCTTCGCCCATCTCTTCCTCCT